TTTTTTTTAAATGGAGTCTCTCTTTGTAGCCCAGGCTGGCTGGAGTGCAATGGCATGATCTCGGCTCATTGCAACCTCTGCCTCCTGGGTTCAAACGATTCTCCTGCCTCAGCCCCCTTAGTAGCTGGGATTACAGGCCTGTGCCACCACGACTGGCTAATTTTCATATTTTCATTAGTAGAAAGGGGATTTCACCATGTTGGTTGGGCTGGTCTCGAACTTCTGACCTTGTGATGTGCCAACCTAAGCCTCCCAAAGTGCTGGGATTAACAGGTGTGAGCCATCGCACTTGACCTGTTTTATTTTTGAGACAGTCTCGCTCTGTCGCCCAGGCAGTTGATGTGATGTCCGTTTACTGCAGCTTCCACCTCCTGGGTTAGAAGGGTCTGTGATGAATCTGGGAAACAGTTCCCAGACAAGGTCTTCCAGCATGCTAGTGTGGTTAGCTAGTGGAAGTTCCATCTTTAAGGCCAGTAGGTGCTGAAGTGATACCACTCCCTCCTCCCTCCCCACAGCCATCCCACTGCCATGACCTGCCCATCCGCAGCAGCCTCGTCACTGACCGACCACCTGTTTTTACTTGCAGGACCTATTCCAACAACCTCTTGAAACATGGTGGATTACTATGAAGTTCTAGGCGTACAGAGACATGCTTCACCCGAGGATATTAAAAAGGCGTAAGTAATTTTATTTCCGAGGTAATACATCTGCACAGTGGTACGTTGGTAATTGAGTAGTGTAACTTTTTCTATTGCCTATGAAGATGGCTCTTAATGTAGTGTGTAGCAGTCTTTGAGTGCCACATAGTTTAATCGGACAGCAATTAACAAGGAACGTTTGCAGTCTAGGTCTGGGCGTTGCCCTTAATTAGTCATTCACTGGGATTCTATCGAAGTCGATTAAAAAGTTACTGAGGATATGACATGATCACAAACATCTTTTTTTTTTTTTTGAGACGGATTTTTGCTCTTGTTACCCAGGCTGGAGTGCAATGGCCCGATCTCGGCTCACCGCAACCTCCGCCTCCTGGGTTCAGGCAATTCTCCTGCCTCAGCCTCCTGTGTAGCTGGGACTACAGGCATGCACCACCATGCCCAGCTCATTTTTTGTATTTTTAGTAGAGACGGGGTTTCACCATGTTGACCAGGATGGTCTCGATCTCTTGACCTCGTGATCCACCTGCCTCAGCCTCCCAAAGTGCTGAGATTACAGGCTTGAGCCACCGCGCCCGGCCACAAACATCTTTTATATTGGACTTTGATATGGAGCTGACTTGGTACTCTTGAGTACCCCTTTCCAGGTAGGGGCCCAGAGTAGAGCACTTGAACTTTTTTGGTGTGATTGTTGGGCTCCAGCCTATGCTGTTGGAGTCCCTTCTGATTCACATGAAAGTTTGAGAGCTGCACCACTGCCTGTTAGACCAGCATCTATCTGTATGACCAGAGCCTGGCTCACGTGAGGAGGGCAGTTCCAGCCACAGAAGGCTCTCATGGTAACCTCAGTCTGTTTAATTTAATGAGGTGTCAACTCTGAATGTAAAGTGTAAAGCAAAGAAGTCATGAAATAGATTATGTTAGATTTTAACATAGCTAGAGAGCAGTTAGCTGGAATAGTTGGAACCAGCTTTAAAAAAATAGATAATAAATAATGAAGTCCATACTACTAGACTTAGTGGGTCTGAAGATAGAATTAACTTTTTTGGGGGCCAAATAGTTCATTTTGCTTAGTTTTTAATTTTAATTGGGAAAAAAAAAAAAAAAAAAGACTGAGTCTCACTATGTTGCCCAGGCTGGTCTCAAACTCCTGGGCTCAAGTGATCCTCTCGCCTTGGCCTCCCAGATTGCTGCAATTATAGACATGAGCTACTGTGCCTTAGCTGAGATAGTTCATTTTAAAATGCTAAATTGCTGAGTGCAATGGCTCACACCTGTAATCCCAACACTTTGGGAGGCTGAAGTGGGAGGATCATGAGATCAGGAGATCGAGACCATCCTGGCTAATATGGTGAAACCCCATTTCTACTAAAAATACAAAAAATTAGCCGGGCATGGTGGCACGCACCTGCAGTCCTAGCTACTTGGGAGGCTGAGGCAGGAGAATCACTTGAACCCAGGAGGCAGAGGTTGCAGTGAGCCAAGATGATGCCACTGCACTGCAGCCTGGGCGACAGAGCGAGAGTCCATCTCAATAAAGTAAAATGCAAATTATGGCCAGGTAAATGGCTCACACCTCTAATCCCAGCACTTTGGGACGCGTAGGTGGGAGGGTCACTCGAGCCCAGGGGTTTGAGACCAGCCTGGGCAACAAAATAAGATACTGTCTTTACAAAAAAAAATAAAATAGTTGGGCATGGTGGTATATGCCTGTAGTCCCAGCTACTCCAGAGGCCGAGGCAGGAGAATTGCTTGAGCCCAGGAGGTTGAGGCTACAGTGAGCCATGTTCATGCCATTGCACTCTGGCTTGGGTGACCGAGCCAAGACTCTTTCTCAAAACCAAGTCAGGCTGACTGCTCTTTGGCAGAGCTGATGTTGCTTGCAGAGTCTTTGAAACCTCTGCCAAGGAACCTAGTAGAAGCAGCCCACTGAGGAGAGGCCAGGCAGACCCTGCTGCTGTCAGCAGTGGAGTGAGGTTTTCCACACTGTGAGGAGGCCTGTGCTGCACACCATAGGCCCACATTGTTCTTATCAATAGTGTCAACAGCCAGTGATACTTGACAGATCATAGAATGAAGACAGCTGGAAATACTTGGCTCCTCTTGAGTAAGCTAATGCATGTATTAGTCTGTTTTTATGCTGTAGATAAAGACATACCTGAGACTGGGAAGAAAAGGATGTTTAATTTGATTTACAGTTCTACATGCTGGGAAGGTCTTATAATCATGGCGGTGGATGAAAGGCACTTTCTACATGGTGGCAGCAAGAGAGAATGAGGAAGAAGCAAAAGTGGAAACCCCTGATAAACCCATTAGATCTTGGGAGACTTAATCCACAAGAATAGCACGGGAAAGACCAGCCCCCATGATTCAGTTACCTTCCCACTAAACCTCATCAGTGGATAAAGATAATACTTGCACAGTATTTTCAGTAACTGATGGAAATTATGTACCTTTATGATGGTTTGCAGTGGCACAATCTTGGTTCACTGCAACCTTGGCCTCCCGGATTCAAGCAATTCTCCTGCCTCAGCCTCCTGAGAGTTGGGGTTACAGGCATGTGCTTCCACATCCAGCTTTTTGTATTTTTAGTAGAGATGGGGTTTCGCCATGTTGGCCAGGCTGGTCTTAACTTCTGACCTCAGGTGATCTGCCTGCCTCGGCCTCCCAAAGTGCTGAGATTACAGGTGTGAGCCACTGGACCTGGCCTTTTTTTTTTTTTGTATTTAAATGACATGCAGTTATTTAGCCATTGGAACTCTGCAACTGACTATGACTTTAGTCATAGAATCTTTGTAGAAGTTTGTGTTTTAACTCTGTTTAGATCTTGAATCTGGCACAGAGGGCTGTTTGAAAGATCCTGCAGTCCTGGCCTGTTTGGTGGCAGGTGACTCACCTTGGGCACACAGATCAGCTGAGTAGTGGGCTGGCTGAGAAAGTAGGATCCTTGGAATCTGAACGTAGAAGGGTAGGGATGGTGATGTTGGATCCTACTGCTCAGTGACCCAGGCCTTTCCGTCACATGCTCGCTCAGTCTCCTCACTGTCAGGCCATCTTGTGGATACCGTGATCTTCGTTTTTCTCTCTCTAGAGGTTTGTATTATGCTATCAGGATTTTGTTTTTTACACTTATTTAATGAGTATTTTCACAATTTTAATTTTGAGACAGGGTCTTGTTCTGTTGCCCAGGCTGGACTGCAGTGGTGTGATCATAGCTTACTGTAGCCTAGAACTCCTGACCTCAAGCAGTCGTCACACCTGAGTTTCTGGAGTAGCTGGGTCTATCTGTGGCTGTACGCCATCACGCCTGGCTATCTGGATTTTAGAACTTCTGTGTATTTCATTCTAGAGGAAAGGGAGGTTTTACAACTAAAACCGGTATTTGTCTTACCAGTTGGCAGCTCTGAAGCCATTCTTCTGGTTCATTATGTTAGTTTCAAAAACATAGTTGATTTCTGGATTTAGAATGTGATAAGTATCCTTTGTTCTTTTCAAGATATCGGAAACTGGCACTGAAGTGGCACCCAGATAAAAATCCTGAGAATAAAGAAGAAGCAGAGAGAAAATTCAAACAAGTGGCAGAGGCGTATGAGGTGCTGTCAGATGGTGAGTGACACTGGGCTGCTTAAGGACTCTGAGTGGTCACGCCAGGATGAGGAGCGGGTGTGGGATCCTCCTCAGGGCCGGCACAGTATGGATCAAGTGACTTGTTAATGGCAGATGGATTTTGGGCCCCCCGAATGTCTTTGCTTTTCTTGTGAAGATTTGACTTGATTTAGGTCACCGCAAGGGCTGAGGAGCGAGCCCCAGGGCTTCTAGCAGTTTCTCTTAGGATGGCTGTTTGCTTTTTTTTATTCTTCTTTTGCTCACCTTTAACTGCCTTGATCGATTTATGAGGATGGCTGTTTTCAAACAGGACTAGCTACCCCGGGTCTGATGAACCCAGGAGAGAGGAGGTTGCAAGACTCAGGCCACTGTGCATGTGGTGTGCTTGCCCTATTGTTGGTGTGTGATCCTTCTGCCCTTGCTCACCCCACGGGCTTAAACAATACTGTGCCAGTGGAGTTAGCTTCACTACTTCAGAGGACGTCTTAGGTTCACAAAAAGAGGGGATGGAACATACAGTTAAAATTTAGATTTCAGATTTCAGGCCTGTTTTCCCCACCTAGGTCTGGAGCAGAGGTGTTGTATGTTACTGGAAGTCCGATCCATTGACCTGGTTCACATGTGGGTGAGGAGTCAGAGGTCGCCTGTCACCTAGTCGGGGTTGCATGGGGCCTGGGGTGGGGGGAGCAGTGACAGAACTGGAAAGCCACAGGATGCCCGGTCAGCTGGAGAGGGATTTTACAAAGTTAGGAATGTATTAACTGGACCCTGGAACTGTGGGTACTTGGTTAAGTGTATCTGAGTATGGTCAAGTGATCGGCCCTTATTTACAACAAATTTTTTCTTTTTTTAAAAGAAGGAACCCAATTTAAGTTTGCCACCTTCAACATTTACCAGCCTGGCTTTCTCTGGTAACACTATTGCCCACCTCTTTGTTTTAGAGGAAATCCCAGATATTTTACTTCAAAAATGTGAAAAGGCATAAAACAGTGATATTTGGAATCTTCATGAAATGTGGCATTTAAGTTCATGAGCTGTTGAGCTTAAACTGTTGATTGGAAAGTTTTATTTATTTTATTTTTAAAGAGAGAGGCTCTTGCCATGTTGCCCAGGGAGGCCTTGAATTCCTGGGCTGAGGTGATCCTCCTCCACAAAGCACCGTTGCGCCAGGCTTGTCGCCTTGCGTTGTGTGCTGGATTGACAGAGGAGAGCACAGGCCTCAGGGTTGCCATCTTGGTCTTTGGTCCTTGGTGTTGGTGTGTGCTAATTCACTACTGCCAGATGCAGGATTTCAGGGACCAGTAACTTTAAGAAAAGTGAGGACTAAACTAAAGCTTCATATTTGATAGAGCACCTTTAAACTACCATACTAAAAAAAGTCTCTTGGTTTTTTTTTTTTTTTGGAGGGGAGGGGGCATGGGGTGTATTTTTCATGTCCTTTTAGGCAGCCATGGGTCCCAGCTGGAGTTACATAGTCATTTTTCTTGCCGTGGCACTGGCTACCTGAACCTGCTTGTAAGTGGTTTGTTTCTAAGCGTCTATTCCCATTTTGTGGAATACGAGATTTTCTTTTACTTTTTAAAAATTGAGAAGGGGTCTCACTCGGCGGTCATCCAGGCTGGAATGCAATGGCATGATCACAGGTAACTGCAGTATTGATCTCCCAGGCTCAAGCAGTTGTCCCATTGCTTCCTGAGTAGCTGGGACCCACAGGTAGGTGTCACTGTGGCCGGCTAATTTTTTTGTATTTTGATTAGAGATGGGATTTTCCTACCCAGGCTGGTCTTGAACTCCTCGGCTTAAGCAATCCACCTACCTTGGCCACTCAGTGTGTTGGGATTACAGGTGTTAGCTGCTGTGTCCAGCCTGTGAGATTTTTAAGGAACTCAGATGGTGTCATGTCAGAGTTCCAGTGCTTCTAATGTCATTCTTTTTGTTGGGGAGTTTCAGTAGACTTTGGAATGTAAGTGTGAAGACTGTCGGTGGAGAGTGGCGTGCTTAGCCCTAGGCCGTGCATCTGGGTGGTCTTTTGGAGGGTGAATGAGCCTGTAGGGTATTGGATGGCTCCTTTCTGGCAACATCTACTTTCTGCCACTTGCTTAGGCCCTGGCACGTTTCTTTGTGTGCTGCAGATGTGGTCCTCTAATTGGGGTTTTGTAGTAAGACGGTGTGCTTGTATGGTTTTTTCCAACCATGTTGTACTTGGTTGTGTGATTTTTTTTTTTTTTTTTCCTTTTTTCTTTTTTTTTTTAAAGATGGGGTTTCACCATGATGGCCAGGCTGGTCTTGAACTCCTGACCTCAGGTGATCCACCCACCTCAGCCTCCCAAAGTGCTAGGATTACAGGCGTGAGCCCAGCAGTTGTGTGATTTTAATGTAGCATGCCTGGGCTCTGTGGGCAATAGAGTGAAAAGTTATCTAATGGAATAAATTTGTTTTTCTTTTTCGGAGAAAGAATCTTGCTCTGTCACCCAGGCTGGAGTACAGTGGGGTGATCTTGGCTCATTGCAACTTCTGTCTCCTGGGTTCAAGCAATTTTCCTGCCTCAGCCTTCTGAATAGCTGGGATTATGGACACACGCCACCATGCCTGGCTGATTTTTGTATTTTTAGAAGAGACGGGGTTTCACCATGTTGTCCAGGCTGGTCTCAAACTACTGATCTCTAAGGTGATCTGCCTGCCTTGGTCTCCCAGATTGCTGCGATTACAGGCGTGAGCCACTGCTCCTGGCCGTAAATATTTAAATAACTTGTTTAAAAAAATTCAACAAACTAATTTTTTTTTAATTGTTTTTCAGGAGGGAGGTACAGAAAGTTTTCCCTCTTGTTTCCTTTTGTTTTAAAGAAAGGGGGGCCATACTCCTTAAATTTAATTGTAAAACCTTGAAAACTGATTTACAACTTGGGAAATATTTTATTGAATCAGAGGTTTAAAAGGAACTTGGCCTTATTGACTTTCCTTTAAATTTTTAGCTAAGAAACGGGACATCTATGATAAATACGGCAAAGAAGGATTAAATGGTGGAGGAGGAGGTATGTATGTACATGACTTTTTCTTTGAAGACAAAAGGTCTTGGCAAGTTGAGTTTGTCTGTAAATCATGAGTCTTTTGGTAAGAGTCTTATCAGTAAATAGAGATGCAACCTAGAAAGTGGGCTGAACTGGGGAGAGGACAGAGAAATTGATAGCATTTTAAAATCTTTGTGAGACTAGAAGTATATGTTCATGTACTTCCTGTAGATAGGAAATAATTTGTTACCATACTGCAGTATATCGTGGACAGACACCCTTAGATCAGTACTTGACATGGTGTCAAAATACCCTGAGGGTTTAAAGAGCAGATTTTCCTGGAAAGCTAAAGTAATGACCTTGTGGGGCCTGGACTTTCGTGTTTGTCTCTAAAACTTTGCATGGTCTCTGGGCTGTGACCAGCCTCCCCAGGGGTCTTTGGGAAATTTTTGCTCCAAACCTGGCCACATGGCAGCTTCTGCGGCTCCAGGAGGTCAGTTGTCAAAGTGGATGCAGATACTCGTGGTCTTCATAAACCTTCATAACAAATCATAGAAGTGGTGTGTAACATTATATGCCCATCATGGATTTAGAGATGGCGAAGAGCAGTGTCGAAGGGGCCATCGCTGCACTCACTTATCGTCAGCTCTGGGCACACTCACTTTGTCAGTATAGGGCTCATGTTTTGAACTTTAGAGAACCCCAAGTTTATGAAATATTTTTGCTTTCTATTAGGTGTCAACAAAGAATTTTTTGCCTGCAAAACGCCAAAATTCATGAACTAAAAGCTGTATTGTATTTCTGCAGGTGGTGGAATTCATTTTGACAGTCCATTTGAATTTGGCTTCACATTCCGAAACCCAGATGATGTCTTCAGGGAATTTTTTGGTGGAAGGGACCCATTTTCATTTGACTTCTTCGGTAAGTTAATTGCGTGGGTTGACTTGATGTGTGTCCATGAGCCAAGTGAGGGTTTAGTAACGGCCTTTCTGTTGAATTTACATGGTATTATTTAAAACAGCATTGGACTAGCCTGGGCAACATGGTGAAACCTTGTCTATACAAAAAGAACACAAAACATTAGCTGAACGTGGTGGCGTGTGCTGGTGGTCCCAGCTCCTTGGGAGGCTGAGGTGGGAGGATCTCATGAGCTTGGGAGGTTGAGATTGGGCCACTGTACTTCAGCCTGGGTGACAGAGCAAGACCTTTTCTGAAGAAAAAGCAGCACAGGAGCTTTAAAATCTTTTTCTTCTTCCTCTTTGAAAATTTGTTTTGAATTTACAACTTGAAAAATTAGAATAATACAGGGTTTAATATACTTTTTTTTTTTTTGAGACGGAGTTTCGCTCTTGTTACCCAGGCTGGAGTGCAATGGCGCGATCTCGGCTCACCGCAACCTCCGCCTCCTGGGTTCAGGCAATTCTCCTGCCTCAGCCTCCTGAGTCGCTGGGATTACAGGCACGCGCCACCATGCCCAGCTAATTTTTTGTATTTTTAGTAGAGATGGGGTTTCACTGTGTTGACCAGGATGGTCTCGATCTCTTGACCTCGTGATCCACCCGCCTCAGCCTCCCAAAGTGCTGGGATTACAGGCTTGAGCCACCGCGCCCGGCCTATGTTACTATTTTTTTTACTTCAAAGGGGAAGGGTCTCTTAGTGACTGAATTGTAGCCAATTTTTGTTTTCCGTGGGGAAAATAATCTGATATCACCAAGCGATATAGCAATTCTTTGTAAAGTAGGTACAGAGATTTAGTTAGACGTGAGTGAATATGTGAGTTTTTACCCTTGGTCCAAGGAGAGAGGTGCTAGTCTCACTGAAACGCTGCACTGTTAAATAATGCACCCAGACCTGTTTTAAGACTAGGTGCCCCGTACTTCCCATGATGGGTGTGGCAGTGATACTTGTTTAGTCTGTTCTTGTAAGGTATTCTCTGATGACTTCCATTTTCAGGCTTGCAGGATTTACACACAGGAGAAGCTGCTGTTCCCTGGCTACTGTATGTATGAAGTCACTGTGCAGCCTGCTGGCAGTATGTTTAGTGTAGATGGGCGTGGATGCCCAGCCAGAGGGATTTCTGCCTAGTAATGATGTAGTTCAGGGTCAACACCCTGGTCTGTGGCCTGTGAGGAGCAGGAGGTGAGCGGCGGGCAGGCGGGTACGCCTTACTGCCTGAGCCCCACCTCCTGTTAGATCAGTGGCAGCACTGGAGTCTCATAAGGGCACGAACCCTACTGTGAACGGCAGATGCGAGGGATCTAGGGTTGTGTGTTCCTTATCAGAAACCAACTGTACTATCTGTGCCACCTCACCCCACGTCCCTTGTCTGTGGGAAAAAAAATTGTCTTCCATGAAACCAGTCCCTTGTGCCAAAAAGATTGGGTACTGCTGTTGATGAATCATATTTGGTAGACCTAGTTGTATCCACTTTGTGTAGCAGATTTTTCAGGTGACAAAGTAGTTCAAAATCGGTTGTACAGTGATTTCCGAGCTGCGCTTTACATTTATCAGACTACAGAACCCCTATTTACATAAGAGAAGCGTTACTTCAGCCTTCCTTTGTGACAGGTGCGGAAGTGGGAAGGGGCCCGGGTGTTGGACATGTGGTATCATGTCTGCCCGTGAGCACCAGGCAGTGCGCACGGTCACACTGGCCAAGGGGACTTGGCCTGGGGCCTGCACGTGTGGAGCCTGTCCTTTCTAGCAGAAACCCTCCCAGGAGAGGTGTGGAAGTGGATTCTAACACCAACCTGGAAGGAATGCGGCCTCAATTGGAGGAGTAGAGTCAAAAATGTTGAGGCTAGGGCCGGGCACGGTGGCTCAAGCCTGTAATCCCAGCACTTTGGGAGGTTGAGGCGGGTGGATCACGAGGTCAAGAGATCGAGACCATCCTGGTCAACATGGTGAA